CCTCACCTCACCTGTCCTCACCTCACATGTCCTCACCTCACCTGTCCTCACCTCACCTCACCTGTCCTCACCTCACCCGTCCTCAACATGTCCTCACCTCACCTGTCCTCAACATGACCTGTCCTCACCTCACCTCAACATGTCCTCACCTCACCTGTCCTCTCCTCTGATAACATTAGTAACTACTTACATTATTAATAACTATATTATTTTCATTATATGTGCAATTCAACTTCCTATACTTGTCAGTGTGACTCTATTCTATGAGACGCTGGTGTTAGAATCACTTCTTCAACACTTTATATTCATAATTCTTTGTTCTCATTTATTTCTCTACTTGAGTAGTTTTACTGTATTTATTTACTCACTCGTACTGCTGTTGTGTTCTATGTTGCACTGGTGTCAGTATTATTTATTTTACACTTAATGATTGTTATTCTATTGTTTGTTATTCTATTGTTGTAATCTTTGATCAAACTCTGGCACAAGAATTTCCTTTGAGATTAATACAAATAAAAATCATATTTTATTAATAGAAATATATTAAATCAACTAATAAAGTGATTAAAATGAGCTCCGCCTTGAGAAGCTGCAACACATTAATGCATCAATAATATAATGTATGTTATTCCCCATAATGAGTACTTTTACTTTGTAGTTTGACTTTTACTTGTCACAGAGTACTTGTACACTGTAGTGCTTGTAAACTGTAGTGCTTGTACACGGCAGTACTTGTACACTGCAGTACTACTCCCCCGGCTCCCCTCAGATCATGACGGCGGTGCTCACCACCCGCTCCACCCCTCTCATCCTGGCTGGCATGGCGTTGGAGCGCTACATCTCCATCTGCTTCCCTCTGCACTACTGCCACATGTGCACCGTCCCTCGCACCTTCCTCCTCGTCTTCATCATCCTCATCCTCACCGCCGCCCCGCCCGTCACCGACCTCCTCATCACCGCCGTCCACCGGCCTCTGAGCTTCTTCCACACAGACATCTTCTGCGACCACCCGCTTCTCTTCCGCCACCGGTCCATCTACTACAAGAACTGCGTGTTTGACGGCGTGTACCTGTCCTTCGTGGCTCTGACGCTGCTCTACACCTACTGCCGCATCATGATGACGGCACAGGCCGCCTCCACCGGGCTGGCGTCGGTGAAGAGAGCCAGAAACACGGTGCTGCTGCACGGAGTGCAGGTCGGTGTTTATCATGAGTAGTGACGGCATCGTTACTACTACTCTCATCGCTTCTTTTGATAATAATAATAATTTGTTGTCTTTTTTGTTTGGAAAAAAAGACAACTAATTAGAGAAGATGCTACATTGCTTTATTGTTATTCTTCTATGTAAACAAATATTTTTTTCTTGTGCAGCAAAGTTCTAAAATCTTTCAAATACGTTCTCATCTAAAGAGTTGTGTGTCATCGATGATCGTGTTCTTCTGATCAGACTCTGTGGCGTCACTAACGGTACCTGCAGCGAAAACAGGAAATCAATTAAAATCCATAAAGTGTCTTTATGTCTGTCCACAAACAGATTTTCACTTTACAATATTATTGTAAATCCTGATATTAATATATTCACATCAAGGTGTTTTCAACTTGATATGAATACGCAGCTATTGGCCTTCTAATCAAGCTGCATATGACTAAAGGGACAGTGTGTAGGATCTGGCAGTATAGCGGTCACTAATAACGCTGAGGCCATCCATACCATAATATCACTACTTCAGGAGCAACGAATGTCAAACATCGTTATGAATATTATATTATATTTCTGCTAATAGAGCTCCCGAGTTGCTACGAACTGGCCCTTTAAGGATGGTAGACCGCTGGCTCGGTAATCAATACTTTGATAGTTAATGATACTCGTGTGGTTCAAGTGACTGTTGGATGTAAATGTTGCTCTTTACTAATAACAACGATCCATATTTCCCCGTCCTGCTGTTACAGCTGCTGCTGTGCATGCTGGCCTTCGTGGTTCCTTCCCTTCAGGCTGCTCTCATCTCCTTGTTTCCTCGCTTCAGTCTAGAGATTCGTTACATCTTCTTCCTGCTCGTCTACATCATCCCCCGTTTCATGAGCCCCATCATCTACGGATTTCGTGACGAGCTGTTCAGGAAGTACTGGACCCGGTACCTGGCTTGTCGGGGCCAAAGTACCGTCAGGGTCATTCCGGTGTTACTGAAAGTGAACCAGGAGGTGAAATAACAGGAGTCAACCTCCGGTTCTTTAGAGTGAAGCCAGTGCTTCATGCGTTAAAGCTGCATTCTCTCTAGTGTCCACCAGGGCGCGACTCCTCTGGTTGTATAGAAGTCTATGAGAAAATGACTCTACTTCTCTCTTGATTTATTACCTCAGTAAACATTGTAAACATGAGTTTATGGTCTCAATCTCTAGTTTCAAGTCTTCTTCAATACAGCATGATGTTCATTTAGTACATTATGGTCCATTTAGAGTCAAACAGACCATAAAGCAGGGGATGCTTTAGGGCGGGGCTACACGGTGATTGACAGGTCTCATATATAAAAATGTTGAAACAAAAAAAATGCATTATAAATGTATTTCTGATGCGCACACAAATATTTCTTCTTTTAAATAAACGTAATAGAAATTCATGAATATATGAATTTAAAAAGGATTTATAATATTCATCAAAAACATTTGGAAGTTGTTATATTTGTATATAAAACGGTGAAGGTGCATATACAAACTGCTTGTCTTGTGTGAATTTCGCTGAGACGTCGCTCCATTCACAAATTCATTTATTTCAACAGTAAATTATCTGGAGCCAATCAGATGCCTCCATCTTCAAACAATCGCATGAGCACAAGGGTACATCTACTATTTGACATCAGCCAAGTTAGCGTTGTAGCTAACTTACGGTACCTACGTGGTGAATGAACTTACATTAATAAAGCGCCCATCTAGCCTCAAACCACGTACAATACATGTTAGCATTCACCCATTCACACACACACACACACACACATTCATATTGGTTCATACAATATTTACCTCTGAGATGTAGTATACTAAAAAGTACAATGAGATGTAGTGAGTAAAAAGTACTTAGTGGAAATACTTGAGTAAAGTATCTCAGATTTGTACTTATTCACATTCCACCACTGATAATAAATACTGCTGTACATGAACTCAACAGGATTAATGAGCAGAAACCAACAAACTAATAAATCAGACTGAAGCCAAAGCATTACATCATGCTATGCTAAGTTAGTTAGCGCACACAGGAAACACTTACAGTAGTTAAGTGAAGCAGTCTGGGTCTCAGTCTGGAGAGGAAATCCTTTAGGGGACAGTCTTCATGGTCTTCAGTCATCAGCAGGAAGAGAAAAACTCTGGAACCGCCGGAGAAGCTAACGGCGAACTTTGTCGGCGACGTAGCGAACTGCCCGCGAACACGTTCTCCGACGTGACGAACTCAAACTCCTCCAACACCGCGAACAGAGCCACCGGCTGACGAACAGTCATAGAGAAACAACGTCAACGTCACTATATCCTCCACGCAGCCTTTAGATGGCTAGCTAGTTTAGCTTGTTCATGAAACTATATTCAGTAGCATTAGCATTAGCATCAAGTGTCAGCTGTTCGCAAACACTGCGGATGGTGGGCGGGGTCTATCGTCCATCTTTACTGCGGAAGGTGCGTTAGATAAATAAATGGCTCCTGGGAGAAGTTTGTCTAAAACTGAGCAATGTGCAAATAACTGAGGAGATAGAAGGAGATCATATTTATAGCTGATTGATTGCCAGAAAAAAAATATCTGCAACTATTTAAAAAATGTATTTATTTGTTTGTTTGTCTTTTATCTTTTTATCAGAATCAGCTTTATTGTCCATTTATGCATACGCGTACAAGGAATTTGACTCCGGGTTCTCGTTACACAGAATTAACAAGTAAACAGGAAAATAATACATATATATTAAAAATAAAAAACAAGGACAACAAAAAACAAAAAAGTAGAACAGATGTAAGCATAACCATTTAACGACTATGTACAGTATAAATATAAATATATATCCAAAAAGTACATATATATACAGTATATATAAACATATGAACGTTGCAGTCTGTTCCTGTCCTGTTTGGTGGTCGATCCAAACCACACAGTGATGGAGGAACAGAGACCAGACTGGATGATGGTGGAGTAGAACAGGATCAGCAGCTCCTGAGGCAGGTTGAACTTCCTGAGCTGGAGCAGGAAGTTCAACCTCTGCTGGGCCTTTTTCCTGATGGTGTTGATGTCGGGGCCCACTTCAGGTCCTGGGAGATTGTGGATCCAGAAACCTGAAGGTCTCCACAGCAGACACAGTGCTGTTGAGTATGGTGAGGGGGGGTAGTGTTGGGGGGCTCCTCCTGAAGTCCACTGTCATCTCCACAGTTTTGAGCTTGTTCAGCTCCAGGTTGTTCAGACCACACCAGAGGACCAGCTGTTCAACCTCCCGTCTGTATGCAGACTCATCACCGTCCCTGATGAGGCCGCTGACCGTTGTGTCGTCTGAGAACTTCAGGAGTCTAACAGACGGGTCCTCTGAGGTGCAGTCGTTGGTGTAGAGGGAGAAGAGCAGTGGGGAGAGCACACATCCCTGGGGGTCCAGCTCCTCATCTGCATGTTGTCCTTCATGATTCCCTTCATCAACCTCGCCTTAGTGACCGCTTGGCCCCGAGAAAGACTCGATATCTTCTTCGGCACTTTCCTGTTAGCCAATATGCTTCCACGTCTGCTCAGTCCACTCATCTACGGCGTCAGAGACCAGAAGTTCAGCAGCAGCATCAGGCTGCACTTCAGCTGGAGATGCTGCAGCTCTGGAGAAAAGAGGGTGAAGCCGATGGTGGGACGAAGGTCCAGACAAGCGCTACACTGAATGGCTTTAAGAGAGCTTGGATTGTATCATCTACAACTAACACTGAAGCGCAAAGTTCACTGTGGTGTGAACTCAAATGAATGCAATCATGTGACCTAATATTTAGGCCTACATGGTTTTTCAACGGGTTGAAACCTGCAACATTATCATTATTACAATGTATTTATTTACAGACAGTTATTCATAAATAAATAAATATATGACACACTTTCATAGATTCACACAAACAGTTAGAAACCTCAACTTACTTACCTATGAGTGACGTCATATTTTGAAGACAGAAGTGACGTAGGGGACAGACCAGCAGGTTGAAACATCATGTTGTGGCCACTAGATGGAGCCACCATCACATCTAAGGAGAAGTCTCCACAACCTCCCGACATGAAATATGAATCAATAAACAAAGACATTTACAGTTATGAGATGTTTTTAACAAAATACTGCTCAGGAAAAATGGTGTTTAATCTTGTTCACAAAAACCCAGTTTGTGGTTTATACAAATAAAAACAAACAAAAAACTCGTGAATTTGATTGTTTATTCTCTGTAGAGAAGAAGTGCTGCTGTGGGAGGAATATTACGTCATCAAAGTAATAACACTGAGGTTCTTTTAATGATTCCACAACGTCTCATTACACACACACGCACACACACACGCACACACACGCACACACACGCACACGCATGTACAGAGATAGCCGGAATATTCCCGTAAATGGTAGGAGATATAACAACAACACAAGGCAGACTTATTCATATAGCTATTTATTTATATATTGATCTGAAATATAATAACTCATCATAAAACCCGACAGGCAGCTTCAGTGTTTAACGGTATTTGTAGTTCGGGGACGCGATCGTGACGGAACAAGCCGAAGCCTGGCTGGAGGAGCGGACTCCCAGCAGCTCCACACTTGTGTGGTCCAGCAGCAGGAGGACGGATCTCCCGCTCGCTGCTTCAGACCAACACAATACGAAACTCTCGCTGTTTGTTTTGTTGTTCTCAGCATCACGTTCGTTTTCTGGTCGGTTCGCACGCGACATGTTTGTTCCTCTGCAGACGGGAAAGTGTGAAAGTTAAAAACGCATCATGGGGTGAGTGAGACCTGTGAGGAAGATGCTGGTCCGGTGATGAAGGAGCGTCGTGATCAAACTCACAGGTAAGTCCCAAATGAGCATGAGTATGTTCCATAATAATAATAACAATAATAATAATGAAGTAATGACTCCTGTTCCTTCTCGTTGTCTCTGTGTTTGTTGTTGATGGAGCTGATTTCTCTCCACTGTGATCCTGAATTATAGATCAACTTTATTTACGTGCAGCACGCGGCCCCCTGAGCTCAGCACGTGTCATTAGAGACACACCGACTCTCCTTTCATGTATTATTCACTGAGTCCTTCACATGGATGCAGATCACGATCAATATGTTCTGGAGATGTTTCACTCTCACTGATCAAACACTCGCTTTAGGACAAACTTTTAACAGTTTTCATGCTAAAGAAATAATTGAGCAAAAGCTCAAATGTGAACGGAGCTTTTTAAAATGAATTATGATTTATTTGTGGGTGAAAGCTCTAGAAGCAAGTAAGGAACCTTTGAGGTTAGGTCATGTGTCCAAATCCTCTTTTATTCGGTATTTTTTAACGTGCATTGTTGACACCAGCTTCTTCTTCTCCTCCTTTATTGGTGCTTCTTAACTATTTCATGGTGATCTGTGTAGAGACGCATCATGCTACTAAACAATTAGAGATCAGACACTCTGAACCTTCACCAGACTACTAACACATGTAGCTGACCGTCCTCCTGCGTCCATGATCAGAGACATATGAATGTCTGCCACTAAAACAGAGTGGACACAAGATACGGCTACAAAGACACACTAAACTACTAAAAGGACTCACTAAAAGACTACAAAGAGGAGGAAAACGACTGCAAAGCGCTGCAAAACAACCAGGAAGAGACCCAAACTAAAAGTTAGGCAGAAGTAAAAGTACTCTGAAGTAAAAGTATTATATATATTATTAGTATATTATTACTGAGTTGACTAACTGGTTTGTAGTTCGGTCGTAGTTTTGTCTGTAATATCCTTTTGTATAAGTTAATAATATGTATTATACATACATTTTATAATGTATGTATAATACATATTATTAACCCCCCCTCTTCCCAGCAGGAAGAAAGATTCAGAGATTCAGATTCAGGTGCTTCAAACAGCATTAAGTCCACATTAGGTTAACAGCGTTTCCTCTTCTCTCGCTAACATAATTACATGATGTTACAGCTACACTTTACTGCAGCGGGGCACTTCCTGCTGCTGGTGTTTGGACTTCTTCCACCACGAGGACTCACTCTGATCAGAGACAAAGGAACAGAAACCATGTCTCCACTTGATGCTAAGCGATATGAAATCAACTGAAGTATGTTTCCTGGCACTAATATCAACATTGTGCCGTAATAAAGACATATTTCAGGAGCAGTAGGGACACTAAAGACTTCACATGAGACTTTTCACAGTTTTAGAGTTTGAACTCTGATTCATTTGTCTGCTGAGTGATTTCATGGTGTTTTATTGTGAAACACCGTGTGGGTGTTTGCAGAGAGAAGATGAGCAGGAGTGGGAGTTACTTTCTGTTTTGGCTTCTATGTGTTTGTTTTTAACTTGATCACATGGAGACACGTTGATTTCATCCATGTTGATGTTGATAGGAAGTAGGTCAGTGTTTAAGTGTCCTCCCTCCGTCTTCCGTCTTGCGTCCTCCGTCTTCCGCCTTCTGTCTTCTGTTTTCCGTCCTCTGTCCTCCAGTAAAGGCCTGCTGGCTCTCAGCCAATGCACTTTGTATCTCGTAGTCCACATCAGAATGTCTCGTACATCAAATTAGTGTCTGTTGGTCTGGTCTCAGAGGTGCATTTAGCAGATTAGATGGAATCAGAGAGCCTTCATCCCAAAAGAGAAGCTCAACGAATAAAAAAAACTCAAGGCTTCTTTTTGCCAAAAAGTCCTGAAGTTTTCTTTTTTTGTTGTTGTTGTTGCTGACTCAGCTCGAGATAAGAAAAGAGAGGAGCGATGTAACGTCCAGACTTCAGTTCAGTGTCAAATACTCGACATCTGCAGGACAAAGGATGAGGTCACTCGTGTCTCCGCTGTGTCTCCAGCAGGTAACCATGGTGAAGGAGCGTCTGCCCAGCTGGGTCCAGCATCAGGACTCTGATGAAGGTCTGGTCCACGTGAACGTTGGCGGTCTGAAGAGGAGCCTCTGCTCCAGCACGCTGAGGAAATTCCCAGACACCCGACTGGGGAAACTGCTGTCATGTGACTCGGAGGAGGACATTCTGCAGGTGGGTCGAGGGTGGTGAACTGTATAAAAATGTCCACTTCCTTCTGGCTCTTTAAAATGTTTCCTCCTCCTTCTCTCCCTGCAGGTGTGTGACGACTACGACGTGCAGCAGAAGGAGTTTTATTTTGATAGGAACCCGGGTTTGTTTCCTTACGTCCTCCACTTCTACCAGACGGGTAAACTCCACATCATGGAGGAGCTGTGTGTCTTCTCCTTCAGGTCTGTCTCATGTTAAACCTCTTCCTGCCTCACTCCATCATTTAAAAGCCCCATCAGGCTGCAACTTTTGTGCAAATTGCACTCTGTCCTCTGTCCCCTTTCTTCTGTCTTCTCTCCTCTGTCTTCTGTCCTCTGTCTTCTGTCCTGTCTCCTGTCCTGTCTTCTGTCCTCTATCTTCTGTCCTCTGTCCTGTCTCCTGTATTCTGTCTTCTGTCCTCTAGCTTCTGTCTTTTGTCTTCTGTCTTCCGTCTTCTGTCCTCTGTTCTCTGTTCTCTGTCCTCTGTCCTCTTTGATTTGACGGATATGTCCCCCTCCCCCCCTTCAGTCAGGAGATAGAGTACTGGGGCATCAACGAGTTCTTCCTGGACAGTTGCTGTAGTTTCCGTTACCACGACCGTAAGCTGGAGAGCAGCCGCCATCGCAGCTGGGACGACGAGAGCGACGTCAGCAGCGTCGACACGTCGGTGGACGAGATCTCGGAACTGAACAGGTAAAAAAAAGACTCTTTGAGATCTGCAGGTAAAAAACACGTTCGTCCTTCATGTCTCTTTCTCATGTCTCATGTTTCTTTCTCATGTCTCTGTCTCATGTCTCTGACTCATGTCTCAGTCTCATGTCTCTTTCTCATGTCTCTGTCTCATGTCTCATGTCTCATGTTTCTTTCTCATGTCTCTGTCTCATGTCTCTGTCTCATGTCTCATGTTTCTTTCTCATGTCTCTGTCTCTATCATGTCTCTGTCTCATGTCTCATGTTTCTTTCTCATGTCTCTGTCTCATGTCTCATGTCTCATGTTTCTTTCTCATGTCTCTGTCTCATGTCTCTGTCTCATGTCTCATGTTTCTTTCTCATGTCTCTGTCTCTATCATGTCTCTGTCTCATGTCTCTGTCTCATGTCTCATGTTTCTTTCTCATGTCTCTTTCTCATGTCTCTGTCTCATGTCTCATGTCTCTGTCTCATGTTTCATGTCTTTGTCTCATGTCTCTGTTAACGGGTCTACTGCGTCCACTCACCTGCGTCTTCCGTCCTCACAGAGACATGCTACATTTCCAGGAGGTGCGTTACGGGAGCATCAGGAAGTGTCTGTGGCTGACCCTGGAGAACCCGGGGTACTCCATCCCCAGCAAGATCTTCAGCCTGGTCTCCATCGGGGTGGTGCTCACCTCCATCGCCACCATGTGCATCAACAGCATCCCGGAGTACCAGGTCGGTACGGAGACACCGTTAAGACCAGCAGAGACTGTTTTATGGTCTTCTGAAGAGACATTGTCTCTGATGTCCTTCGATGTCGAACGTCCATAAAATCCACTTAGATATCACAGATAAAAAGGATTTCTTTGTGGTTGCAGAAGTTGTCTGAGAATCTTTAAGTTTTAAAGTTTTTTTCAGCGCCACAATAATCCAGTCATCAGTGTCTTCTGTCCTCTATCTTCTGTCCTCTGTCCGTTGTCCTTTGTCCTCTGTCCTTTGTCCTCTGTCTTTTGTATTCTGTCCTCTGTCCTCTCAGACGTTTGACGATGAAGGGAAGGTGATGGAGGAACCCACCATGCAGGCTCTGGAGGTCTTCTGCACCTGCTGGTTCACCTTCGAGGTGAGGTGATGTGTACTGGTGGTACTGGTGATACTGGTGATACTGGTGGTACTGGTAATACTGGTGGTACTGGTAATACTGGTGGTACTGGTGATACTGGTGATACTGGTGGTACTGGTAATACTGGTGGTACTGGTGATACTGGTGATACTAATGATATTAGTGGTACTGGTGATACTGGTAATATTGGTGGTACTGGTAATACTGGTGGTACTGCTTATACTAGTAATATTGGTGGTACTGGTAATACTGGTGATATTGGTGGTACTGGTGGTACTGGTGATACTGGTGGTACTGCTGGTACTGGTGATACTGGTAATATTGGTGATACTGGTGATACTAATGATATTGGTGGTACTGGTGATACTGGTAATATTGGTGGTACTGGTAATACTGGTGGTACTGGTGATACTGGTAATATTGGTGGTACTGGTGATACTGGCGATACTGAGTACTGTCTGTGTGTCTGAGGTGGTGACTCGGCTGCTGCTCGCTCCGAACAAGAGGAAGTTCTTCCATCACCCTCTGAACATCATCGACTTGGTCTCTGTGGTTCCGATCTACATCACTCTGCTGTTCGACATCACTGTGGGATCAGAGTCTGAATTGGGAGAACTGGGACGACTCATACAGGTTCTGAACCTTCTTATTGCTCATCACTTAAATGTTCTTTAAGTTAGTTTGTTGTTTAATATCACAGAAACATTTTAAATATTTGATCTCAACAGTGAAATACAAAGAAAACACAGTACTCTGAATTCACAATACTCAGAGCTAAATACATCCCACAATGCACCTCAATATGAAGAAGTTCATGACATGTTGAATGAAATCATTTATGTCCAAACTACAAAGTTCTGTTCTTCTGAATGAGGCTGGTTTTAAAACATGAATATCATATCATCATGTCTCATTCTTCATGTCTCTGTCTCATGTTTCATGTCTCTGTCTCAGTCTCTGTCTCATGTCTCATGTTTCTTTCTCATGTCTCTGTCTCTATCATGTCTCTGTCTCATGTCTCATGTTTCTTTCTCATGTCTCATTCTTCATGTCTCTGTCTCATGTTTCATGTCTCTGTCTCTTGTCTCATATTTCATGTCTGTCTCATATTTCATGTCTCTGTCTCATGTATTTTATCTCTTGTCTCATGGCTCTATCTCTGTCGCATGTCCTCTGTCTATTGTCTCATGTCTCTATCTCTTACTCATGTCTCATGTCTCTTTCTCATGTTTCCTGTCTGTCTCATGTTTCATCTCTCTGTCTCATGTCTCTGTCTCATGTATCTTGTCTCTGTCTCTATCTCTGTCTCATGTCTCTGTCTCATGTTTCATCTCTCTGTCTCATGTCTCTGTCTCATGTATCTTGTCTCTGTCTCTATCTCTGTCTCATGTCTCTTGCCTAATGTTTCATGTCTCTGTCTCATGTATCTGTCACAGTCTCTTGTCTCTGTCTCAAGTCTCTGTCTCTTGTCTCTATGTCATGTCTCTGTCTCATGTCTCTGTCTCATGTATCTTGTCTCTGTCTCTATCTCTGTCTCATGTCTCTTGCCTAATGTCTCATGTCTCTGTCTCATGTATCTGTCACAGTCTCTTGTCTCTGTCTCATGTTTCTTTTTCATGTTTCGTGTCTCATGTCTGTCTCAAGTCTCATGTTTCGTGTCTCATGCTCTGTCTCATATCTCATGTCTCTGTCTCATGGGGGCGACTGTGGCTCAGTGGAGAGCAGGGCCGACTTTCAATCGGCAGTTCGATCCCCGTCTCCGCTGGTCTCATGTCGATGTGTCCTTGAGCAACACACTTAACCCCAAAATGTCTCCCTTCCTGAGCCTACGGTGTAGAAATGTGATAAAATCTGAATTGTAAGTCGCTTTGGATAAAAGCGTCTGCTAAATGACTATAATGTAATGTCCTCATGTTTCATGTCTCTTGTCTCATGTCTCTTTGTCATCTCTCAGGTGTTCAGGTTGATGACGATCTTCAGGGTTTTGAAGTTGGCCCGACACTCTACAGGTCTCCGGTCTCTGGGAGCGACTCTCCGGGTGAGTCGAGAAATAAAAAAACGAAACAAGAGTTTTATTTTTTGCTGACGAGTCTTAAACATGGATTGTGTCCAGATGTTGTCTTTTGGTCTTTGGAGGACCTGGTTCTGAGCTTCAGGGACCAAAAACAAAGTCCTGATGTGATTGTAGTCAGACGACACGATGTCTCTCATGTAACGTCATTACTGTGAACGATCCTCATGAGAAGTGGATCAGTGAGACCAGCAGAGAACCTGAGAGTCACGTTACACTCTCATCCATCACCACAGAGGAGGAGGAGGAAGAGGAGGAGGAGGAGCTCCAGCTGTAACTGGATCTGGATTCATTATATTTACATTCAGACTGAAGCAGCACTTTAATAAAAGCTGCTGATTCATGAAGTGAAACTTTGAGAGCTTTTTAAAAACACCAGACAAGTTCAGAGACGGATGAAGCAGAACTGTGTCTGTACTAGTAAACATAGTAAAGTACTAGCAAACAGTAAACATAGTAAA